TTGCCCTGGTCGTCGTGTTAAATCACACGCCTGGACCATGGCAGCCAGCAGCCAGGAGCTGGCAACTGGACCCGCAAAAGGGAATAGATAGCTCTTCTCGACGCGAGCCTCACTGAGTCAGGACCCAAGCGTCAGGTAAGCAAAAGCGACCTTCCCATCCAGGGAGCAGGACCGAAGGTCCGCTTGTGTGTGAACGCCACACGTTGAGGCGCACCACTGGTGCCGGTGACCGATGGATGCTTAATGATGTACTCAGGGAAGTGCGCTTGGCAAGGCGTCAGGCACCAGCTACACCATCAGTTCATGCCAGGTCGCAGCCGCTTGCAGCCGTTGTGCTTGCGTTGCATATTTTCTAGATTGTGTTGCACATAGTCACGCGCGTAAAGTGCGCGAATCCACAGCAAACCCGCTACAGGGAAGGTGCCGAGCTTGGCATTTGCTGCCAGCTTTGTGTTCGTCACCCGTGGCACCTTCGTGTGAGGATGGTCCGGTGCTCCGGAGCTCTAGAAAGCAGAAGCAATATGGCGAGGCCATACTGTTGAATCTTGCCCCTCATCGGCGTTCACTAGAGAGCGGTCACTTGTGTGATCAAGCTGCACAAAGCAGCGATGTAATGTTTAGTAAGTGCGAGGACATACAGTGGAAAATCCCGCAAACTTTTGAATCTCGTTGGGTCAATATGGGCCTTATAGGTGTAAATTCTGGCACATTTTGCACCCTCGCCTCACAACATCGTCCTGCGTTGCTTCAGCTTCAGCTTCCCTCGCCAATTCCTGATGCCAGCCGAGTGCGGCACGTCCCTGCATCAGATTGATACAGCGCCTATCAGAGTTTTTTTTTTCAGCTAGGTTCGCAGTAAAGAGAGTACAGGGACCGTCATCTGCAACAAGTTTTGTGTTGTTCAGCCAGCACCTCGGTTCTACCCCCTCCCATCTCCTGGCGAAAAATGTTGGCAAAGGAAGAGACTAGCTGGCTTTCAGGCGTGTTCCTTTGGAATTTTTTGCTTTTTGGTGGATCATCATTCGACTCTGCGATGGGACTACCACAGGATCACAAGACGCTGGGTGTGCGTTTTTTTGAGGTGTTTCCGCGATTGACGACTCATTCCACCAAGCATCTAAAGAAGGAGTTGTGGACGCAAGCGCTTCAAGTAGTAGCATGTAGCAGACAGAACATTTGCTTGGCTCCCCAGTCTGTGTTCACAAGACTAGTGACCCGGAGATTCAAGTTGCAGTTTAGAGATCGTGGGGAGTAGTCTGATTAGTGGAGTCCTCAGACGATGTGCGAACTTGCTGACATGTGATGCGTCTCTTGTGAGCATCACACCCTGGAAGGCATCACAAATGTAAAAAGTTCGAATTGTCCTGGGCAACTTCCTCAGCCCTAACCCCTAGACCCTAAACCCCAAATCCTAAACCCGAAACCTGGGCTTCGGAGTTTTAAGTGCAGGGGTTCAACTTCATGACCCCGGTCAATTGAGCCTGAGGTCATCAGCCTAAATCCTGAACCCTTTCAGTTTGTGTTTTATGTCGGTGTGAAGGGTGCTGGTGTGCCGTTCAAGTTTGAGGCCTGGGGTCTTCAGAACTTGCGCCAGACATTGCCCTTAACCGGTCAGCTTCTTGTCACGCAAGCTTGCTAAGTCAGCGCAGCAAACGGCTCCAGTTGACAATTTCTGCGCTCGGCGCTCGTCAGCCACTCGCTTGGTTTGAGCTCCAGCTTGCCGACCCACACGTCGTGTTCCTAGGGTCCTAGGGTTTAGGCTTAGTTCCTTGAAGTCAGGGGTGCAACTGGGGGCCAGGGTTGCAGAAGATGCACCGCACGCTTGGAGTGTAGCCCGCCTCATCTATAGCAAGCCTGTCAAGCGCTTGGCTAAGCAAATCATGCCTGAGCTTGGGAGAGCCTGCGTCCTCAGAGCTGCAACCCTTGACCGTTAACCCCGCACCCTAAACGGGGTCAGCAGGACTCCTTTTGTGCCCATAATCTGAGCTGCTCTTCTGCTTGTGTCTGGCTCTCCGTGCTGGGCCAGAGAGAGAACCCTAAACTTCATAAGTTCTCAGTACCACCCTTAGACCTGTAGGGGAGGACCTCCAAGTACTGCCAAATTGCTGCTTTGCCCATGCCCCTTGGCCGTCGTGTGCGGGTTGGGCCCATGGCTTTATCTCTGTAAACAGAAGGCAGCCCTAAACCCTTCCTCCTTCCAAGCAAAACCGGTGAAGGTCAGAATCTTCAGATCCTAGAAAGGATTTTGGGCCGATTTACTTCAGTGCCCGAGTACCTTATGCTTTGCTTTGGGTCGCTTGGCACGCTATGGGCTCATGGCCGTAAAGAAGCCCATCCTGATTCCAGCTGCCGCCCCTCAGCTCTTGCCGGCGATGGCGACAGCGGCTTCGTGACGCTGGTGCCTGATACGAGCTTCCACCTGTAGCCTGAGAGCCCGAAAGATCCTCAAGACCCTCCACCTGAAGCCGCTTGCACTGTGCACTAGGAGACTTTGGCCTGGGACGTCTGAGCTTCCAGCGTAGAAGGATGGAACTGCTGGGCGGAGCTTAAGTTTCGCTGGGCAGGCTTTCCGGATCTCCGCTCATGCATGGGTCTGGCCTTCGCGAAGAAAGCCTTAAGAATGGCTCAAGGTAGTTTCAAAGGCTTTGTTGAAGTCAGACGTTGGTGCAGAGGTTGCTGACGCACCCTTAGAGTTAATGGCCACTTTAAGTCTGATGCACAGCTACTTCACGTCATCCTTGAAGGCTGACCTCAAGCCAAAAAGACGGATGTCTGACAATACCCTATACTGGGACTCTTTCGAGACCCAACGCCCTTTAGCCTTTGTCTTGCTCCAAGGCGGTTTAGAGGCTATCGTAACCTGTTTCCGTCATGGTTTGCCTTGCAGTGCAGCTTTAGCCTGCAGGGCCAGCTGCACCTCAGCCTGCCCAACCACGCCGCTTCCCGCGCCCTCGAAGGTTTTTGCTCCCCAAGCAGCTGTCCTAGCTTCCTACAATTTACATGCCTCCATGTTCCAGCAAGCCACAAGGTTTTAGGTGTTCAAGGTTGAGGACACAAGTCTGGCCGGGTTGGCCAAGCATGGAGGACCTCTCGCTACTTCTTTGTCAAGTCTGAAAAAAGGCATGGTTTACTGAACGCTGTGTCGACTGAATATCCACACCCGGGTGGCGGCTACCCTTGCGTGTCCACACTGGAGTTGCCAAGGTGTGCTTGTTTTGCATGTTAGCGCCGGGAATGACAGGATCACTTGTTTTTTGCTTGAGTTTGAGACCAACAGTCAAATACCTTTGCGCCGCTGTGCGAAGGTCGTTTCCAGCTCAGGAGTTCAGCACTATCAAAATTGTTCTTGATTGCAAGCGCTTTCATGTAAATGCCTTGCCAAATTCCAACACATTGATGCTTCCCTTGACGCATTTTGCAGGAGGAGACGTCTTCATCACGCATCCAGCCGGAAATTCAATGCATCGGGTTGATGGGGTTCTAGTTAGGGGATCCACACTCTTCCATTGCCGTTTCAGCTTGTTGCAGTGTCCGGTTTGCTCGCCCGTCCAACTGCGTTGTTGGCAAGCCCTGCGCTGGGGCGCCCAGGTCCAACAAAGGTTTCGCTGTTTCCTTGCTTGCTTTAGGAGCCTGGAGTGCAGGGCCTGCAAGGCCTGTGGGGCCTTTGTTTCTTGCGGACTTGGCGGTTGCGAGCTGCTTTGACCTGGGCGGGAATCAGTAATCCAAGAGTCTGAGCGCGAAACATTCTGATGCAAAAAACGCTTGATAGAACTGGCAAACCAGCGCGTCGACACGCAACGCTACAACGTCCCAGTAAGAACATGGCACGATTGTGAGTGCAGCTCCGGGTGTTACGAGGCATTTGACAGCTATTTGTGTGCCCTCCCTTCCGTTCATGTTGGAGTTGAGAGCGCCCTTTCTGGCTGAACGCTTCAGGTGCCACCTTGGCTCACGAGCCTGGCAAGCTGTGAGCAAGAGCGACCTGGGCGGGAATCAGTAATCCAAGAGTCTCAGCGCGAAACATTCTGATGCAAAAAAACGCTTGATAGAACTGGCAAACCAGCGCATCGACACGCAACGCTACAACGTCCAAGTAAGAACATGGCACGATTGTGTGTGCCGCTCCGGGTGTTAAGAGGCATTTGACAGCTATTTGTGTGCCCTGCCTTCCGTTCATGTTGGAGTTGAGAGCGCCCTTCCTGGCTGAGCCCTTCAGGTGCCACCTTGGCTCACGAGCCTGGCAAGCTGTGAGCAAGAGCACCGGTGTGGGCCTGCTTTGCGTGCAAAGGTGACATCCAAGCAGCGAGCGCACTGCTGTGGATGTGGGAAAGCTGGAGAGCTTGATGCGGGACTGGCAACACAAGTGCAAGAAAGCCCAGGGAGCTTCTTCAAGCAGTAGAGTTTACCGTAAACAGGATGAGGAAACTCTCCCATCCGCGCTGCGGTGCAAGTCCTCTCCACTTGCGATTGACAGGTTCCGTGCGAAACAGGAGCATTCGGGCTGCCTGAGATCCGTTTTGTACACGCAACCACAGTCCGCTCCACAGGATGTGCGGTTTTGGGACATTTTGCCGCTTAGCTATGGAAGGCAGCAATGACCTTCCTTCGCCAAGGCATCCAAAAAAGAGAAGGCGGCAGGCATGTCGAGGTTGAAGTTCGTTCTGAGCTCACCTGAAGTATAGAGGTGATAATATTTTTGGAGCGATATTTTTGTTTATGTTGCCGACTTTCCAGCCATCTCCATATTTGGAGGGTCGTGTCTGCTGCTGATCTTTCGTGGCATGGAGAGTGTAAGCCATCCAGTGCAGCAGCCAGCTGAGTCCGATATCAATTCGGGCGTGTGAAACTTGTCCGCAGCGTTTCTGGTAACGGCTCGAACTTCGAAGCACGAAGTCGTAGCATTCCGTGCGAAGACACGCACACGCAAACACACGCAATCCAAAAAAAGGCAGGAGCAGGGCAGCATTATTTTCCGTGGGCACGACTTCCAGCTCGTCGCCATGGCGAACGAGTGCCTCACCGCTGCCGTGTTTCTGCAGGTGACGAACTTGCCCTTGATCCTCACGTCGTTTTCATCGGCACCCACCGCGACAGGATTTGGCATAGGATTGATGTTGGCCTTAGCTGGCCTGACCACCACCTCCGCAGAAGGAACCATCGATGAGAAGCGCCAGGTCATGTCAGCGAAATCCACGCTGGTGGCGACCTCCTGGGCGAATCGGGCGGTGCGCGTCTCGAAAGGTCTCGTGGACTCCTATGCCGCCATTCACTTTGCTGCCGTTCGAAAGGGCACATCGTCTTCCATCCTCCACGCCATCCTCACCTTCCTTGGCGTGGCTGCGGTGGCTTTCACCGCTGCGATGTGGCTGATCACCGGCTACTACGGACAATGAGGCGTCGGCATGTTAAGAGATCACAGAGGCTACGTCACGGCTACGTCCCCTTGACCCGCAGGCCCTGCACCAAATCTTACACCGGATAAAGCCTCTGTTGACAAGGACGGTGTACGGCGGACTCGCCGACCTGGAATCCGGACGGAAAAGGTTGGCGCGCCATCCCTGCTGAAATGGCTGCTCCCATCAAGCAGCAGCTTAGCTCAGCCAAAGGCTCACCGTTTGCTCAATCTGTAGATGTGGGCATTGTTTTCTAGGCTCACCCTAAACCCTAAAACCCTAAACCCTAAACCCTACCTCTTTAGATGCTGGATATTGCAGGCCCGGACCAGGACAGGCTTGTGCCGCCAAGCACCAAGTTTGCTAAGAATCGGCAGATGTCTTCCATTTCTCTTTCCGTATCACTTAGCAGCCTTTCCCCAGAGGGTCCTAAGCACCTATATACAGTAGACAGTGGGGTTTCGATACTAGTTTGCGCAAGTATCCCCCCGATTAGCAGACCTGGCTTCTTCGTCTTCCTACCAGCAAGACGATTTTGCAGCTGCCGAGGAACATGGAGCGCACTCAGAAGCAGATCATGCCCTTGGCAGTCTGCATCATGGCGGCGGCTCACTCCTTGGCCTTCATGCAGTAGAATCTCTTGGCCAGTTGTGGCCTCCCTCCTCCATGCAGTCTTTGTCCAGAATGTGGAGTCCAGATCGACAAGTCAATAACCCAATGACGAAATGAAGGGCTCACGAATTTTTTTCGTTTTCCGACATTTAGCAGATGTAGCAACTGCAGCAGCTGCAGATGCATAGATCTGAACCATATCGAGATTTTCCACAGTGCTGCCGCTCACGTGCTTTGCGAAGTGAAGACAGGAGCTGCCTTGCTTCGACCTGTCTGAAGAGCCGAGCTCGTGCCCTGCGACGGAAAGACTAGTTGCACTTTTTCCGTTGCGTTTGCGGTTTCGTAGGAGTCTGCTACAGTTGAGAACGAGGCTCAAGTCGGATGTGTGGCATCGGCACATAACCCACCCAAGCTGAATGCGCAGGAGCATCCTTGTGTCTCAGCCTTGTTTCGGCTGCCCGCGCAGCCGCCTTACTCCTTACATTGAACCATCAACTTCGGATGCTCAAAGCCTCCGAGGCGCTGAAGCATACGCCTTGCGAAGGCCCCAGCGTCCCGAAGCCACAAACCCTCGAAAGCGCCTCCTGGAACCAGCTTCCCATTCTGGACAGGGCAGGCCATATAAACCCTAAAGTCCCTAAAAAGTCTCTAAACCCTATAAACCGTAAACCCTAAACTCTAAAGTCCCTAAAAAGTCCTAAAAAGTCTCCTTGGCTCAAGTCCGAGTCCCCACACTGTGCCATGAGAGCCGGAGGCTCCGGGCTTCGGCTCCTGCGGCTCGGGCGCCAGATCGCCTCAGCTCCGGCGCCTCCAATGGAGGCGAAAGGAGTGCCCCCTGTAAGTCCTAAACCCTATAAAACCCTACAAACCCCAAACCCTAAACCCTAAATCCTAAACCCTACACCCTAAACCCTAAACCCTATAAACCCTAAACCCTATAAATCCTAAGCCCTAAACCCTGGGGAGGCGAACGGAGTGGCCATCGTCGGCGCCGGCCCCTCCGGATTGGCCGCGTGCAAGGCGGCGCTGGAGGAGGGCCTCAGGCTGCCGCCGGAGTCCCCAAAAATAAGGGGTTTAGGGTTTAAGGTTTAGGGGTTTAGGGGTTTAGGGTTTAGGGGTTTAGGGGTTTAGGGGTTTAGGGGTTTAGGGGTTTAGGGGTTTATAGGGCTTAGGGTTTAGGGTTTCTGGTGATATGAAACATTAGGAGCTCCACCAGGTGTGGGTCCTTCGTTGTAGGCCATGCATTCTATATCTCTCTTCTTGAGGTTCCGGGCTTTTTTGGGGACATTTTCTGATGAGCAGGCCCAGCGTCTTCGAGAAGAGTGCCGGCGTGGGTGGCCTCTGGCGCCCCGCGGAGGGTAAGGTCTGGGAGTCACTGCGGACGAATTTGTCCAAGTACACCTGCGCCTTCTCGGACTTCCCTTGGCCCCAAGAGGCCGAGACCTTCCCGAAGGCCACGGAGGTCTGCCGATACCTGGAGCGCTTCGCCGAGGGCCTCCGGCCACATCTCCACCTCTCCTGCGAGGTGATGGCGGTGACGCGGGTGAAGGCCGAGGATGAGGCGAGGTGCGGATGGCAGCTGACTTGGAGGGAGGCCGGTGAAATGAAGCAGAAGCTCTTCAAGCACGTGGTGATAGCCAGCGGCGTCTGGGCTCTTTTTTGAGGAGTTCCACTTAGGATCGCATAAGGGAATGCATTTTTTACATAAACAAGTAGTGATTGCATAAGTTTCTCCCACATTGTTTGCATTTCTGCTTTCCAGTATTTAATAATCTAATGCTGCCCCCCAGTATTTATTTTTGCTATTGCCACGAGGATGATTCTCATGAAGGTGGGTTTTCAGTGATTTTGATGATGCATCTCGCGATAATTGACCCTCACCCTAAACCCCAAACCTGAAACCCTAAGCCCTAACCCTGAATGTTCCTCAAGAGCCCAGGCATCTTCGAGAAGGCTCACCTCGACCTGCCGGGCCTGGACAGCTTCCCTGGGCTTGTGCGTCTTGGCTCTGGTTCAAGGAACTCGATGGTCTTGTGGTTATCATGGGGTTGCACAAGGATGTAAGGAACTGAGGTATAGATTGTACACTTGCAGAATCAATCTTGTGCATTCCCTGTTCTCTGGTAGCAGAAGGTTTCAAGAGCCCAGGTGTCATGCGGCCGACTACCGGAAGCCCGAGGACTTCACCGGAAAGAGCCTCGGAAGAACGTTTTGGGCCGGCCCGCGGTCTAGGATGTTGTGGCTGGAGTCTAGCGTTGTATGCTCTAGTGTGCTAGCTACGCTTGTGGTATCTTATCGTACGCATGTTGTCGTAAAACAAAGCCGTTCTACCGAGGAAAGTGTTGGTTGTCGGCTCTGCTTTCAGTGGGGCCGATATAGCGGTGGACCTCTCTGGCAATGCTTCCGTCACCATAGCCTGTGGCCAGCCGATGTGGTACATCCCACGCTACCTGAAAGGAATCCCCGCGGACCTGGCGTTCTACAACCGGAAGCCTAAGCCGAAGCAGTCGCCGGAGGAGAGCTATCGTCAGAGGCACCAGTTTCTCTCTCAGGTTGCAGAGATGCCCGCAGCTCCGCGAGCTCCCAGCGACTGGAGCCGGCCTCCCTTTGTTTGCATCAGCGACCACTTCCCCGAGGCGGTTCGGGCGGGGGCGCTGTCGGTTGCGGACAGGGTCAGCAAGGTCACCGGGTCCACCGCTCACTTCGCGGACGGCTCGTCGGAGGACCGGGAATCCTGAAATTTGAAGCTCAAGTGCGAAGTTGCTGCTGCTCCTGCTGGCCCGAAATCCCGGAAGGGTAAGCCTGAGCCTTTCGCAGAAAGCCCCGAGGACTTCGAGGTCATCTTGGTCGCGACGGGCTACGACTTAGACTTGCCCTTCCTGGGTCCGGAGGTGAGATGTTATACTACATCACAGCATATAGTATATTAAGCTCGATTCTCACACTTTGTACCACAGTCAGTCAATATTGTGTATCCGATTAGGTTATACAGTCCATGATGGTGGTTCGGTCATAGCAAGCATGACAGTCACACAGACACAATCTTAGTCGTCTGCCTGAATCCGAGAAGAGATGCTCAGCTCCAGGAGAACCGGTCGTTCCCGCACAATGAAAAGCCAGAACTCCAAAGATCCACCGCCGGAGGTGAAGGAGGCCATCCATCTGGCGCGAGACCAGCTGCAGCCGGTGATTCTTAGCCATGCCGTGTGGCCGCCGGAGGATGGCTCAACAGAAGCTTCTGCGGCTTCCTGGGGCTTGTTGAGGGTTTATCTCCTGGAGGTTGTCCGGATGCATAGCCATAGCCATGGAGAAGATGATGAGGATGATGACGATGATAGCGATGATGGCGATGATGCTGATGCTGGTGGTGATGATGGTGCCGAGGATGATGATCCGGGTCTTTTTTTGGTGGACTTCGGAGGAGTTTCCCGACCTGGCTTTCGTGGGCCTCTACCGCGGCCCCTACTTTGCTGTCATGGAGCTGCAGGTGCGAAGAAGAAGAAATGGTTCCAAGAAACACCAAGAAGTCATAGACCTAGACCTCAGGCCCTACACACCCAAGACCGTAAGGCTTCAAACCTAGATTGGCTCGGTCAGGCTCGCTGGGTCCTCGGTGTCTTCTCGGGTCGCCTCCAGGCGCCTGACGAGGACTCCAGGAGGCACAAAGGGTGCTGTCCAACGAGGGCTTGGAGGGGTTGTAGGGGGATCATCTCTTCCCCACCAGCATGCTGTCATGTCGAACATCACTCTTTAAGGGGTTGACGGGTTCAAGGACTTTGGGGCTTTGGGTTTGACGCCCCAGAGCCCTGCCGGCCGAAAACGACGAAGGGCAAACTCAGCCCCCGAAGCCTCGAATCAGAATCCCCCAGAGCCTCCAAGCCTGAACTCTAGAACCTGGAGCTCAGCCCTGAATCCTAAAGCTCTTTCAGAGAGGCTTTAGGATGTGGAGTTTTTAGATGCCGTTTTTGCTCTTAATCAATATATAGGTTTTTTGGGATGTAGAGTCTAAGTCTGCTTAGGGCTCAGGTTGAGGTTTCACAGAGAGAAGCCCTATAGAAGCCCCCGAGTGCAGGAGGAGCCTGGAGCAGGGCTGGGCCCTTCGGAACCTGGGCGACCGCCCCCAGTTCCCACAGAGCCCCCTGGGCTTCTTTGGTGTGGGTTCCTTCCGGCATCCTTACATTCGTGGGGCTTGTGTAGGGCCTTTCAGAAAATTCGGCCGGCTTTGGGAGTGTAGGTTTGAGTTTGGGATGGCGATGAGGGGCCCCAAGCAAGGACCATCAAAGCCCCATGAAGCTCCCTGCGGTGCACCCCCCAACCCCAAATCAAAACCTCAATCCGAGGCTATGTGGAGATGGCCGAGGAGCTGGCGGAGCTGGTGGGCGTCCACCCCAGGGAGCTCGCGAGCCCCTCGCACCCGCTGACTCATCTCCATGCGGCGGCTCGGCTCCGCATGGTGGAGACGTGGGCGCTGTGGGCTCCTTTTTTGGGGGGGATTTTGGATTTTTTTCGCATTTGGGGAGGGTTTTGCGTTGTGTGCCGTTGGGATGGCTGTGTTACCGGGCCTTGTGATGGCCTTCCGGAGCCGGGCGTCCCTCCATCTCACGTTCGTGAGCTCCGTGTGCGGGATTCGTACCAGCAAGCAGTTGTAGCTGGAGAAGATGCAGAGTTTGCGTGTTTTTCGGAGACTGTGGTGTGCACCTTTAGGCTCAAAGCGAATCCAGCACTCCAAACCTCCCAGTTTGCAGTTTGCAGCTCCTCATGCCGTGGCAGCCCGAAGCACCATTTCTCTTTGAACTCACCGAAGTCCCCGCCGGCTGGTCCCTGGCGACCCTCATCGATGCCTTTGTCAACTTGGCTGGTTCTCATCCAAGTCGTGATGATGCGGACCGAGCTCGCGAGGCGGTGAGCCGCCGGCTGGTGGATTTGTGGGCCTCGCAGCCGGAGGAGGCTGAGGCCTGGCTCCAGCGGTGCCGGGAGCGCTTTGAGACGGAGCTCGCGGGCAAGGCGACGGGGCGGGAGGAGCTCCAAGAGGCGCTGCTGCGGCACGGGGCGACCAAGCGTGGCAAGTACCGAGCCGGCTGGTGCTTCTCCGAGGCGGGGTTCGAGCGAGGAGAGCCGTTGCCAGCAGCGGAGCGGGAGCACTGGGCGGCTATCTGCAAAGGACCCACGCCCGCCATCGCTGCTTGGAGCTCGCGGAGCGGCTCGAGCGGGCCGAGAGCCCGGAGACGGCACGGAAGCGGCAGAAGCTCGAGGAGGAGACCTCCGAGCGCGGGCGCCTCGAAGCGCGCAATCGCCTGGCTGCGGTGGCCGATTCAAAATCTCTCCAGCAGCTGACCGAAGTCCCTGCCGGCTGGCCCCTGGCGACCGTCATCGACGCCTTCGTCCACTTGGCTCATAAGCCAAGTCGTGATGACGCGAACCGAGCTCGCGAGGCGCTGAGCCAGTGGCTGGTGGATTTGTGGGAATCGCAGCCGGCGGAGGCCGAGGCCTGGCTCGAGATCTACGCAAAAGAGCTCGCAGACAAGGAGATGAGGCAGGAGCTCCTCTTCGAGGCGCTGTGCCGGCACTGGGCGGTGGAGTGGGGGAAGTGCGGGTGGTGGGGCAACTGGCGCTTCTTCGAGGCGGGGCTCCTGCGAGGAGAGCCGCACCTCTCAGCAGCGGAGCGGGAGGAGCGGGCGGCTGTGTACCTGCAGGATCCCCACACCCGCCCTCGCTGCCGGGAGCTCGCGGAGCGGCTCGCGGCGGCCGAGAGCCAGGAGACGGCGTGGAAGCGGCAGAGGCTCGAGGCCGCCAAGCGCCGGCGCCTCGAAGCGGAGCTCCAAAAGTCGCAGGAGGAGGGCCGAGAGCTGCGCAGTCGCCTGGCCGCGGCGGAGGCGCAGGTGTCCAGCAAGGATGCGGAGCTCCAAACTGCGCAGAGCGAGGCCGCCAAGTGCAAGGAGCAATGTGAAGAGCTCGCACGTCGCGCAGCAGCTGCGGAGTCAGCCGTGGCAGACATGCGACAGGAGCTCGGGCAGTTGCAGGAGGAGCATGGCAAGTGCCAGGAGCGCTGCCAGGAGCTTGCAAATCGTTTAGAGGAGGCAGAGGCAGAAGCTTCCGAGCATACCAAGACCAAGGAGCTTCTGGCGCAGGCGGAGTCCCATGCCGCCGAGAAGCAGTTGGAGGTGCAGCGGCTGCAAGAGGAGAGTCGCGAGTGTGTGTCAGCAGAAGAGGCCACCGATGCACGCCGTCCCAGGTTCAAGAGCATCTAGCTTCTTCCATCATCTTCCGTTTCTCGAGCTTCGGGTCGTGATTCCCTCTGGTACTCCACATAGAGCATGATTCACGTGGCTTCTGACACTGATACTGACGGTTCAGCAGCAGGGCGGGCAGTGCCGGCACGAAGGCTTTGCATGCATCTTCCAGCCTTGTGTGGCTCGCAGTTTTGCTTGTCCTATGCAGAAGGTCGCAGGAGGTCGCAGGTAGATATTCGAACGATCCACGAGGCAGGAAACAAGGACCGAAAGGTTTCTGCAGAGATCGTCGCAAGGCCCCCAAATCTGAGCACCTCCGGGGCCACTGGGCAAGCTCCAAATCTTTCTCCCCAGCCCTTCCACCCTCGCAAACTCCGCGCCCTAGTCGTTCCCAGACCCTGAATCCCAAAACAACCGGAAGCACCACCGCCGCCCAGGACATCGCCGAAGGCCCTCTGCTGCCTTTCCACTACCGGCTGCTGGGCTTCGGAGCCGACCCAGAAAGGGCGCAGGCCGCCATCCTCGAGTGCCGGGAGGCCTTCTTTGGGAAATGAGGAGGCCGAGGACTGCCCCCTCTTGAAGCTTGCGCACCTACACGTAGGGTCTGCTTTGACTTGGGGGCGTAATCCCACGACTTGGGGCTCATGTTCTGGGCAAACCTTCTCTCCTTCTCGCGAAGCTGCCGTTTAGGGATATAGACTATAGAAGCAAGGATTGAATGCATCAGATCTTCGTGCTCCGTGGACGGCCCTTGTTTGGAGCTATAGGGTCCGTACGTTCGAGGTCTCCTATCATCAAGACTCTAAACCCTAAATCCTAAACCCCAAAGCCTACTGACTATGTGCAGAAGATCGAATGACGGCAGTGCACACCCTGCGGCTTCAGAGGTTCTCGAAACAGCGGGCCTCAAAGGCCCAATGCTGGCATTATCGCAAGCCCCTCAATCTGATCACCTCCACGGCCACTCCATGTTTTCTTTTCCCTCTCCTTTCACAAAGCGCCAGCTCCAAATCGCTCCCTCACAAACTCCATGCCCTATAGTCGTCCCTAGACCCGGACCGTGGCTAAACCCTAAGCCCGAATCCTAAAGCAACCGGAAGCACCACCGCCGCCCAGGACATCGCCGAAGGCTCGGCGATCCTCGAGTGCCGGGAGGCCTTCTTTGGGAAATGAGGAGGCCGAGGACTGCCCCTTTGAAGCTTTACCTACACGTAGGGTCTCCTTCAACTTGGGGGTCGTAATCCCACCATCAGGCAGGGGAGCATCCCACGATTTAACCTTCTCTCCTTCCCGCGATGCTGCCGTTTCGGGATATAGAAGCAAGGATTTCCTGCATCAGGTATTCGTGCTCCGTGGACGGCCCTTGTTTAGAGCTATAGGGTCCGTACCTTCGAAGTCTCCTATCATTCATCAACGCTCTAAACCCTATAAATCCTAAACCCCAAACCCTAAAACCTAAAACCTTGAACTCCAAGTCCCAGTCAGCTCCGTTGCTTGAGGAGTGGCTTCCGGAGCCAGAACCCCCCAAACCCCGACAAGCGCCTTCTCGACCTGGAGGGGAGTCCAAACTCTAAACCCAAAACACCCCGAGAGCCCTCCACCAAAAAAACACAACTCAAACAGCTTGTTTTTGAGTTCAAACTGAACCTAAAATCCCCGAGAGCCCCCCCAAACAAAAACAAACAACTCAAAGAGCTCATGATCGGGAGGACTCGCGGAGGCGAGGGTGCTGCCGGGTCTGAGGGTTCCAGGTGGCTGGGGGACCATGCTCCAGGAAGATTTATCATGTGAGGGGCTTTTTGGGTCTTGAAAAGCTCGCAAGCCTCCGACATGTCAGGGGCCCCAACGACCATCAAAGCCCCACATGAAGCTCCCTCTGCGGTGCAGGGAACCCCCCAAACCCTCAATCCTCTCCCGGCCGAGGCTACGTGGAGATGGCCGAGGAGCTGGCGGAGCTGGTGGGCGTCCACTGCAGGGAGCTCGCGAGCCCCTCGCACCCGCTGACTCATCTCACTGCGGCGGCTCGGCTCCGCATGGTGGAGACGTGGGCGCTGTGGGCTTTTTCGGGGGATTTTGGTAAACTTCGCATTTGGGGGGAATTTGATTTTGCGTTGTGTGCTTTCGGGATGTTATGGGGCCTTGGGGTGGCCTTCCGAAGTCGGGGCATCCCTCCATCTCACGTTCGTCAGCTCTGTGTGCCGGGATTCGTGTCAGCAAGCAGTTGTAGTTAGAGAGCAGATGCAGAGAGTTTGCATTTTTTTGGAGACTGTGGTGTGCACCCTTAGGCTCAAAGACGAATCCAGCACCCCAAACCTCCGCAGTTTGCAGCATGCAGTTCCTCATGCGGCGGCAGCCCGAAGTAAAGTGTCTCAAGGAGCTGACCGAAGTCCCTGCCGGCTGGCCTCTGGCCACGGTCATCGACGCCTTCGCCGACTTGGCTATTTTTTCTATTTTTGATCCAAGTCTAAGTGACGCTGATACGAACCGAGCTCGCGAGGCGGTGAGCCGTCGGCTGGTGGATGAGGTGCTGAGCCATCGGCTGGTGGAGCTCTGGGCCTCGCAGCCCGCGGAGGCCGAGGCCTGGCTCCAGCGGTGCCGGGAGCGCTTTGCGACGGAGCTCGCGGGCAAGGCGACGAGGCAGGAGCTCCTCTTCGAGGCGCTGCTCCGCCACGGGGCGGCCCAGTACGGCAGGTACGGGTGGTACTACCGCTTCTCCGAGGCCGGGCTCCTGCGAGGAGAGCCGCGCGGCTCAGCAGTGGAGCGGGAGTTGGCGGCTGGGTACCTGCAGGATCCCCACATCCGCGACCGCTGCCGGGAGCTCGCGGAGCGGCTCGAGGCGGCCGAGAGCCCGGAGACGGCGCGGAAGCGGCAGAAGCTCGAGGAAGAGACCGCCGAGCGCCGGCGCCTCGAAGCGGAGCTCCAGAAATCGCAGGAGGAGGAGGAGTGTCGAGAGCTGCGCAATCGCCTGGCTGCGGTGGAGGCGGAGGTGTCCAGCAAGACCGCGGAGCTCCAAGCTGCGCAGAGCGAGAGCGCCACGTGCAAGCAGCGGTGCGAAGAGCTCGCAACTCGTGCTGCAGCTGCGGAGTCAGCTGCCACGGATCTGCGGCAGGAGCTCTGGCAGTCGCAGGAGGAGCATCGCAAGTGCCAGGAGCGTTGCGAGGAGCTCACGAGTCGCGTGGAGGAGGCAGCGGCAGAAGCTTCCGAGCATGCCAAGACCAAGGAGCTTCTGGCGCAGGCCGAGTCCCATGCCGCCGAGAAGCAGCTGGAGGTGCAGCGGCTGCAAGAGGAGAGTCGCGAGTTTGTGTCAGCAGAAGAGGCCAAGAGCAACGTTGAGCTACGGCTCGAGAAGGCGGTGCTGTTAGAGCGGTGCGAGCAGCTCCGGCAGCAGCTCGCCAAAGCAGAAGGAAAGTTGGGCCAGATGCAGGTCTTGTGGGAAGAGAAGGCCACTTACAAGGAGCGCTGCCGTCAGCTGGAGCGCCAGCTTGCTGAGGCGAAGCCGCCCCACTCCGGCGGCCCTTCGGTCCATGCCACACTCAGCCGCCAAGGCCAAGCACCCAGCCACGATGTGGCTTCCAGCGGGAAGTCAGATCTGACCGAGTACATTCTGGTGGACGACGAGGTGGCCTCCTCCTCCGTCTTGAGCTGCTCCTCTTGGTTCTCGGTGAAGCCCGATTGCTTCATGCCGGACGCCATCTTCAAGACCTGTAGCTGTGGCATCGAGCACTTCCTGAGAGGCCGGGACCTTCAGAAGGGATCGCAAGTGGTGGCCGGGGATGGCGAGACCATTTTGGAGGTCTGCGAGGCTCCGGTGGTGTGCCAAGCCAAGGAGGTCGTCCGCTTGCAGGCCGGTGCCGCGATGCTGGAGGTCACGCCAGAACATCCGGTCCAGGTCCCAGCAACGGACGGTGCGACGGAAGGTGGAGCGGGCGGAGGCAGCTGCCGCTACGTCCCAGCAGGAAGCCTGAAGCCGGGTGCATTGGTCATGCTCGATTCCGGGGAGCCCATGGCCCTCACGGGCGTAGCATCAGAAAGCGGCGAGCATGAGGTGTTGAAGCTCGCATTCAAGCCGAACCAGTCTGTCGCAGTCTTCTCGTGCCCACCTTGCATCCTCAGCAAGGGCGCCAACAGCAAGCCAGATCCCCGTCGTGGGAAGAAGTGCCGGAGCCGAGGGCAGCGAGCGAAGGTTGAGGAGAGCGCAGACGACGGAAGAGCCTCCGTGCCCAACACGGCTGGAACATCGACTCAGATACTGCTCAGGGGTGCAGCAGGCGTATCATGATTGAAAAACTACCCATGAATCCATGACGAGCCGTTCTGAGCCAGCGAATTTTTGATTCTCCGGCGATGTTACCAGGGCGTTTAGTGCACGGGGCCCCTTAACCGCCAGTGCCTTAGGCCGCTTGAGTTGTCGCAGGAGTTGCCCAGAGTGCAGCGCACGCGGTCCCGAGATGACATCATTCAGAGCTTCGTTCCTGAAACTTTTTCTGTGGCATTTATTTCAAAGCTAGTGGCAGGTTGTGAGACATGGAGGGGATGGGCAGTGTGGGCACGCAGGCTTTGTAGGAATCTTCCAGTGGCGAATACAGGCTCGCAATTTTGTTCATCTTGCGCAGAAGATCGCAAGCCGGCAGCCGGTCTCCAACGATTCGCGAGTTTACGCGGCAGGACAAAAAGATGTAGAATGCACCAGTGCAGTCCTGAGCCGTTCAGAGCCAGCCAATGCGCGACTCTCCGGTAATGTTGTCAAGGCGTTCAGAGCACGGGGCCCCTTAATCGCCAGTGCCTTTCGCTGCTTGAGTTGTGGCCGGAGTCGGAGTGCAGTGCACGCGCACGAGCATCTAGCTGTCTAGCTTCTTCCGTTTCTCGAGCTTCGGGTTGCGCTTCCCTCCTGTACTCCTATATAGAGCATGATTCAGGTGGTTTCTCACACTTATACTGACAGTTCAGCAGCAGGGTGGCGGGCAGTGCAGGCACGAAGGCTTTGCATGCATCTTCCAGCGGTGTGTCAGGAAGTCGCAGGTAGACCTCGAACGATCCGCGAGTTGACGAGGCAGGAAACAAAGGACCGAAAGGTTTCTTCAGAGATCATCGCAAGGCCCCAAATCTGAGCACCTCCGCGGCCACTGGCTGGTTTCTTTTCCTTCTCCAAACACAAAGCTCCAAATCTTTCTGAGCCTCTCCACGCTCGCAAACTCCGTGCCCTAGTCGTCCCTACGCCCGCATCCTAAAGCAACCCGAAGCACCACCGCCGCCGAGGACATCGCCGAAGGCCCCCTGCTGCCTTTCCACGACCGGCTGCTGGGTTTCCGAGCCGACCCAGAAAGGGCGCGACGATTTGGGGCTGATGTTCTGCGCAAACCCTAAATCCTAAACCCCAATAAACCCTACTGATTATGCGCAGAAGATCGAATGACGAGACAGAAAGCAGTGCACACCCTGCGACTTCAGAGGTTCTCGAAACAAGGGGCCTCAAAGGCCGAATGCCGGCACCATCGCAAGCTTCTGAATCTGATCACCTCCACGGCCACTCCGTGTTTTCCAATCCCTCTCCTTTCACGAAGCTCCAGCTCCAAATCGTTCCCTCACAAACTCCATGCCCTGTAGTCGTCCCTAAACCCGGAACGTCGCTAAACCCGAAGCCCGAATCCTAAAGCAACCCGAAGCACCACCCGCCGTCCAGGACATCGCCGAAGACTCGGCGATCCTCGAGTGCCGGGAGGCCTTCCTTTGGGAAAGGAGGAGGCCGAGGGCTGCCCCCCCTTGAAGCTTTAACCTACATATGCAGGGTCTGCTTCAACTTGGGGTTGATCCCCGTAGTGAAGCAGGGGAAGGGGAGCATCCCAGGAGGTGAGGCTCAGGTGCTTGTTGGCCTCTTCTTTTCTGGGATCCCCATCTCTTCGAAGCTCTCGAAGGGCGCCTCCCGGCCCCTTCTTCTGTCGACTCCTTGGTCCCAGAAGGAAGCCCGAGGCCTGAGGCCTACCCTGGCCTCCACAGGCTCTCCAACAAAGCGTGTGTAAGGCGCAAGAGAAAACCCGAAGTGAGCCTTGAAACCCGGAGCCCATTCCCCGAAACCTACACCGATGGATCCCAAGCCCCCTTCGGGCAGGCGGTTTCCTCGCCGAGCGCCTCAGGGAGGCTGCGGCAAGCTGGAGGAAGGTGCGTCGGCGTTGACAAATACCCCAAAGCTGTGGGGAGTTTTTTTTGGGGGGCCAGTCAGCGTAGCTTGCAAAGGGGTTTCCACTCTTCCTCTAGGACCTATTACCATGCGAAGATCAGAAGCACAAGCCTCCAAGATCAGGCGAAGCCTGGAACAGGCTGGCCCTGCCGAAGCTGGACCACCGCCCGCCGTTCCCACACAGCCTCTGGGCTTGTGTTCGTTTTCTGTCTCTGTCCAAACTTCTCTTCTGCGCAGGGTCTCGTGCAGAAATCCTGTGGTCTAGGAGTTCTGAGCGTTTAGGTTCGAGTTTGGAATGACTCCAGCATTCCTTCGCTTAGGATGCTTCACTCCACACCTTGAGAAACAAGCTTATGAAATCAAAGGCTGTTTGGAGCTCAGCCCGCAAGAGCTCTGGGGGCTTTGAGGGGTTTAGAGGGTTCCGGCTTCAAGGGTTCAAGTTCAGCCATGAGGAGATCATCGATCGCGACGGCCCTCCCGCTGAACCCGCACCGAGGCTATGTGGAGATGGCCTGGCGGAGCTGGCGTCCATGCCATAAAGTCACCCGCCGAATCACCTCTATCCCGCCGCTCGGCTCCGCACGTTGGAGACGAGGATTCTAGGGCGTTGGAGGGATTTGGGATGAGGGCTTAAGGGGGGGAGTGCTTTTGGGATTGGGGCGGATCGGGGGATTGGGATGGCCTTCCGGAGCTAGAGCTTGCGCATTCTGTTTTTTCGGAGAACGGGGGTGTGTGTGCCCTTAGGCTCAAAGACGAATCCAGCACCCCAAGCCTCCGCAGCATGTTGCAGTTCCTGCATACACTTCTCGAGCTGACCGAAGTCCTTGAAGGCTGGCCACTGGAGTATCGGTTCCTCATGTGCAGCATGTTACTGTTGCTGTTCCTACGCTGGTTCCTCATGCGGCGCCCCATAGGAACACCTCTCGTGCACCTGACCGAAGTCCCGGCCGGCTGGCCCCTGGCCACCGTCATCGACGCCTTCGTCTACTTGGCTGCTTATGGAGCATATTCGGACCGAGCTCGCGAGGCGGTGTGCCGGCGGCTGGTGGATTTGTGGGCCTCGCAGCCGAAGAAGGCCGAGGGTTGGCTCCTGGAGCGCCGGAGGCTCTACTGGAAAAAGCTCGCAGACAAGGAGGCGAGGCTGGAGGAGCTCCTCAGCGAGGCGCTGCTCCGGCACGGGGCGGCCGAGTGTGGCAAGTACAAGTTCGACAGCTGGCGCTTCTCCGAGGCGGGGCTCCTGCGAGGAGAGCAGCGCTGCTCAGCAGCGCAGCTGGAGGAGTGGGCGGAGTTTTATTTGCAGGAGCCCCTCACCCGCGACCGCTGCCGGGAGTTCGCGAAGCGGCTCGCGGCGGCGGAGACCCCGGAGACGGCGCGGAAGCGGCAGAAGCTCGAGGAGGAGACCTCCGAGCGCCGGCGCCTCGAAGCGGAGCTCCACAAAGCGCAGGAGGAGGGTCGAGAGCTGCGCAATCGCCTGGCCGCGGTGGAGACAGAGGTTTCCTGCAAGACCGCGGAGCTCCAAACTGCGCAGAGCGAGGCTGCCAAGTGCAAGGAGCTTTGCCAGGAGTTCGCAAGCCGCACGGCAGCTGCAGAGTCAGCGGCGGCGGAGCTGCGGCAGGAGCTCGGGCAGTTGCAGGAGGAGCATGGCAAGTGCCAGAAGCGCTGCCAGGAGCTTGCAAATCGTTTGGAGGCGGCGGAGGCAGAAGCTTCCGAGCATGCCAAGACCAAGGAGCTTCTGGCGCAGGCCCAGTCCCACGCCGCCGAGAAGCAGTTGGAGGTGCAGCGGCTGCAAGAGGAGAGTCGCGAGTGTGTGTCAGCAGAAGAGGCCAAGAGCAACGCTGAGCTACGGCTCGAGAAGGCGGTGCTGTTGGAGCGGTGCGAGCAGCTCCGGCAGCAGCTCGCCAAAGCAGAAGGAAAGTTGGGCCAGATGCAGGTCTTGTGGGAAGAGAAGGCCACTTACAAGGAGCGTTGCCGTCAGCTGGAGCGCCAGCTTTCCCAGGCGAAGCCGGCCTGCTCGGGCAGCCCTTCGGTCCATGCCACACTCAGCCGCCAAGGCCAAGCACCCAGCGACGATGTGGCTTCCCGCGGGGAGTCAGATCTGACCGAGTACATTCTGGTGGACGATGAGGTGGCCTCCTCCTTCTCCCTCTTGAGCCACTCCTGTTGGTTTTCCGTGAAGCCCGACTGCTTCATGGCAGACGCCATCTTCAAGACCCGCAGCTCCGGTGTCGACTTCTTCCTGATGGGTCGGGACCTCCGAAAAGGCTCGCAAGTGGTGGCCGGGGACGACGAGACAATTTTGGAGGTCTGCGAGGCCCCCTTTTTGTGCCAAGCCAAGGAGGTCGTCCGCTTGCAGGCCGGTGCCGCGACGCTGCGGGTCACGGCAGACCATGCAGTGCAGGTCCCAGCAACGGACGGTGGGATGGAAGGTGGAGCGGGTGGAGGCAGCTGCCGCTACGTTCCAGCAGGAAGCCTGAAGCCGGGTGCCTTGGTCATGCTCGATTCCGGGGAGCCAGCGGCCCTCACGGGCGTAGCATCAGAAAGCGGCGAGCATGAGGTGTTGAAGCTCGCATTCAAGCCGAACCGGTCTGTGGCCGTGTTCTCGTGCCCTCCTTGCATCCTCAGCAAGGGCGCGAACAGCAAGCCGGCAATCCGCCGCGCTAAGATGGGGCAGCGCCGAGGTCAGGGATTGACGGCCGCGGGGAATGCAGATGAGGGAAGAGCCTCCATGCCGAACACGGCCGGAACATCGACAGAGATTCTGCTGAGGGGGGCAGTGTGATGCAGAAGACACCGGTGCAGTCCTGAGCCACTCAGAACCAGCCAATTCGCGATTCTCCGGTAGTGTTGTCAAGGCGTTCAGAGCACGGGGCCCCTTCATCGCCAGTGCCTTTCGCTGCTTGAGTTGTCGCCGGAGTCGCCGGAGTGCAGCGCACGCCGTCCCAAGTTCACGAGCATCTAGAATCTAGCTTCTTCCATCTTCTTCCGTTTCTCGAGCTTTGGGTCGTGATTCGCACTGATGCTCTAGAGCATTATTCAGCTGGTTCATTCATATTTATTTGGGTGCTAGCAGTACAACAGCAGGGTGACGGGCAGTGCAGGCACGA